TTTCTTGTATTTCAAAGCATCTTATTTAGTTCATAAGATACATTGAGATAATTGGTTAATTGGCACCCAATTACACAAATTACTTGGAAGTGTGACACATTTAATAGTTAAATGAGGATAAAAAAACAATCACTTTTGAGGCATGACTCAATTCAGTTCTCAGCTGATTGGCAGATTGAAGCCTTTGCCAAAGTCTTGGGTCTCTCAGAATCCACTCAAACCACTTAATTTCAGTTAATTTTCCTGTCTGCAAAACTAGGCTTATTTTGATGAAACCTTTTGAGAGGGCTTAATTACTACCCCTTCCTTATTCCCTGCCTTAGCTCTCCAATGTGACATAGAAATTTCTAAAATTTGTGCACCACATTAATGATTTTAATCCTGTGTTTCATAGGAAACTTGTAGAATGGTAAGAATGTGATAGACTCTTCCTCAGCTATTCCAATTATGGAAGAATAACAGATTTTTAAATTAAATCCTACTGAGAGATGGGGTATTTTTGTGTTTACTTAAAGAGAACTTGGTATAGCTGTGACCCATTCACTGGCATATGGGCTTATCTAACATATACATTTCTGGATAGCACATATGGATATGTGATCTTGTTCTCAGATGTAGAACTGTAGGCTATTCCAAATGTCAAAGCAAAATGTGAAATTTATCTATGGAGTTACTCTATCCAGTGAAAACAGAAACCAGAGATGAATTTGGTCCTTCCTGGACAAGGTAAGATAGGAAACTCTTTAGGTAAGCGCTAGACTAGTGAAGAACAAAGTAAAGTATTGACAGGACAACAAAAAGTGAAAGGAAAGCAAGACATCTGCTGTGCTGGTAGTTTAGACTATGGAATTTTACAGCATCTGCATGCTAATTTGACAATTTTACAGCAAGTACTACATAATCATGCCTAAATCATGGTCTAAATATCACCAAAGATAAAATACTGCTTTCCCATATTTTCTTTGAAAAATTGATATTTAATCACCTGTATTGGGAGTAATTTGTACTTGTGGTTACAAATTCAAATTTACTCCAAGGGTTTCACTTTCGAATTATTGTGATAGCTGTATCTAATCAGACCTTTCCTTACACAAAATATATGTTGGATAGTATTTTTCAGAAGAGTCAGCTTAGAAATCTTTTAAAATATTAAGGTTTATAACAACCCAGAATTTTATAGGAGTGTGTAATTTACCTCTTCTGGTGCATACCAGCAGCCTAGACATGCCAATGTAAATTAAATTTTTCTTCTCTTATTACTTC